ATAGGAAAAAAGCCTTAAATTCCATGCAAGAATGTTCATGGCATCCTCTGCTCATGTAACTAAAGAGATCTACACATGTCTAGGTGAGCTGACTCTTTGTTATCTTGCGTTTACATGTAGCACTTGCGTTTTTGCTGTGGATGATAATTGTTAATTGTTGTTTGTTATTCCTCAAAATACTTCAGAGTTCTTATAGCTAGTTTAAATGTATTGGGGCAGTCCAGATCAATTAGAATTTGGAAGTGTGGGTTCTTAAGGAGAAAGCAAAACCAAAGTACTTAGGGGATAACCTTGCAGAGCAATAGAGAGATTAACCAATAACAAACTCAACCAACATCATTATATCACCGATGCTCAGAATTTGAACCTGGGCCACATTGGTGGGTGGAGAGTGCTCTCACCATTGCACCACCCGTTGCTCACCAATGTTATGGTTTACTTTCATTCTTGGACCAATTTTTTTTTCTTTCGGTTGGTTTTTGTGGAAGATGGCGGAGATAAAACCGAAACAAAGTAAAAATTGCACTCATGATATATAAGACTGGATCACAACCCCTACAACAGCAGCCTCCCCACACTGACATTCTTTTGGCTTATCACATCATGCAATCCTCCCCAATGTTTGCAAGGAAGCAATGCATGACAAAACCCTAGGAACGTTTGCTTAGGATACTTGTACAGCAGGTGCTTGTAATGTTTTCCTACCATGAACTTTGATGTGTTTTCAGCGGAACACCTCTGTTCCTACTTCACTGATGTTAGTTTTCACCGAGTTAATGTAGAGAATGGTCTAGATGTTTCTACTAGCAGCAATCAAAGACTGCTCAAAAGGGTCAGTTTATATATATATATTTTTTATAATAAATTAATTTTATTAATAACAACAGAATCTTATTAATAATAGCTAATTATAAAGAATATTATTGACAGCCTGTAAGCAAGCCTGCTTTGTTCTTCTCTCTTCTGTGACCCTTAACCTCTCATGCTAGGCAAAAGTTTGAGAGCTTACATTGAGAGTATACATTGTACAGTCATGCACTAAAATGGGACTGCAAGCTAACAGATAATTTTACTTCTAATTTGATTTAATTTAATTTTAGTTTTTATTTCTTCTTATAATATTATGCGTTTCATAACTCCAAAGTTTTTTAGCCTACAGCTGTAAGTACAATGTAATTTTTTATTACAATCAGTACATAATTAATGCCAGCAAATTGTTTTCTATTTTCTTAGCTTTTTGATGCTTATCTGCAAATAACTGATTTAAATTTGTTTTTTTAAAACAATCTGCAGTTTAGGTTACTGAATGAATTCCAACATGAAGTGGCCTCTTTTTGGATCAGATATCCAGAATGGTGAGTTTAGTACCAAGTTTTCTTTCAGTTGTATAATTATAGATTCTTCATGCTGTTCAGCTCTTTAAGCCCCAGTTACACAAATCATACAAATTATTCGGACTTATTGCCATACATTTCCTTAAAGAAATAGTTGAGAGAATTTGATTTGAGAATTTGAGATCAAATCATCCTCCCTTTGTTAATTCTCATAACTGTATTTCCCGACAATGTCTTCATAATGCTAGGAGAAGTCTGGTGTTGGTCACTCTTGGGCCTTAATGGTTACTCCTCATAGTGGCCAAAGAAAAACTCGCCAACAAATTCAAATTTCTTTTTTGTAAAATTCCAAGAAACAAAATAGTACCATGCAAAAGCTCTGTCAGTGAGGTTTGATTTGAATGGTAACACTTTAAGATTTTGTCTACATATTCAAAAGTTAGACCTTCACAAGTTTAGACATTGATTAGGCTTATGAAGACAACTACCTCTGATTGATGATGAGCATTTGAACCTTATTATATTCTTGAAAACTAATATCATGGTGTTACCTTTCCTTTTAAATTTTTTCCATAGCTATACTACTGGTTAAGTTGTAGCTCAATGTTGTATAAGTTTAATAAGCACCTCTTTAAAATAAAGATATAAATAAATAATATTAAATAAACAAACAAATAAAAACTGCCTTTTTTCCAATAAACAGCCTGATATACGTTTTTTTTTTAAATTACTAATTGCATTGCTTTCTGCAGTATTTTCAGTAACTTATAGTTCCATGTTGATCCTTATTCTTCTTCAGGTTTCTTGAGTCTGTCCTGGACAGTACATTTAATCTTTTCTCTTCAAGCTCTGTGGCTGGATTTGGTTCCTCAGACCTGCAGTACATGACACCACTGCATTTTCTAGCCCTCGTTGACCCAAAGGCAACCTGGTTTAAAAAGTGGATGGTAAGACATCATTTTAATTGTTATCATTTACATTGATGATTTTTAAGAAATGTACAAAAATGTAAGTTAACATTCACCTAGCACAATGGTTTGTAATTTCATTTGTATCATATTATTTTATATATTGGTAGTGACTTGTCATAAGCAAGAACAGTCAATTCATTCTGATCTAGTGCTTATATTCACCTGTACCCAGTGTAGTGTGTTGTCTTGGCATACAGCATGGGAAAAAAACAGTTTCAACATATTCCTTCCATGATAAGTAAGATAAATTCAATAATCATTCTTTTTGAAAAAATGCGTGTATTATTGTTTTTAATTATTCATAGCATGGTAATTACAGTAGGACAGTTGCAATCAAAGAACTGAAAAAGCATAGCTCTTTGGTAAGTTTGCTGTGTGTGTATGTGTTTAATAGTTTTAAACCCCATTTGCACAAAGTAAAAAAATCGGCACCGCACACGAAATTTTTGGCACCCTGCCTTGTTTACCTGTGCCTAGACTACCTCTGGTAAAATTTTGAGCACTGGTGCCACATTACATTTGGGACCGATACGTTTACAAGTCGAAAATTGGGAGGGCCGTGCCTTAAAATTGTCAGCACGGTACCAAAAATTTGGCGTGCTGTGCTGATTTTTTTAGTGTGTGTAAATGGGGTTTTAGTCTTCAGTACATGGTCTGTCATGAGTAACAGAGAAATGTCACGTAAAATTTTTTCAGTCAACTTGCTCCTGCAGTGCTGTCACTAAGTGCCAGCCAGGGACTGCGTATATTCACCAGCTTGAATCATGAATATGACCCCTGGCTACTTTCATGGGAAGCAGAAAGAAAAATGAAACCAGAAGAACTTTCCAACTGTTCAAGTCCGTGTGTTCTAAATTGGATATCTGACCACTTGAAATCTTACTAGCAGCCCTGTTGCTCTGAGAAATTCTCCACAGTCTGTCCAATGTCCAGGGTCAAACTCCTCAGTTTACATGTAAGTTATGTTACCAAACCAAAGCAAACCAGCTAATGTCATCTAGAGGGGGTGACCCTTGACAGTTCAAAGAACAGTACTGAATGCATTGTAAGCCTGAGGCCTTCCTACCAAGTGTCCCTTAGTAATGGAGACTTTTCCCAGATCAAATTGGAAATTGGGCATGTTGGTTTGTAAAGAAGGCTGGGGAACACTTAAGTACGTGGAGAAAAACCTTTTGTAGCAAAGAAAATAACCAACAAAAAAGTCAGCTCACCTATATACAACATCAACATCAGGACTCAAACCTGAGCCAAATCGGTGGGAGGCAATTGCTCCCACCACTGTGCCATTCCAGCTTGCTCCCCCAAATATTTTTTACATGGATAACTGGCTAGTGAGAATTCTTTCTTGTTACTGCTTGTTTAAATAGATTCTGTCCTTGCAGTGTGTTTGTGGACCACTTAAGGTTGATTCTGTCCTTATTTGTGGGTCACAGTGTTAACAAGTGGGTCATTATCCTGGCTGATAAACATGATGTACATTGTAATTTTTATAAAGTATTTTGCCATTGGTTTGAGAAGTCAGTCTGTTATTATCATGAACTGATTTTGTCCATGTTGCAGTTAGTTGATGCTATCCGTCATTGTATTGACTTCTCCACAACATGTAAAACCCTTCAGTCCTTGGAACTGTTAGAGCTTGAAGAAGATCAAAGAGGTAAATCATCAACCTTAAGATGTTAAAATAATATTCTCGGCCCCTTCTACAAAACTTTTATATTGACTTCCTTTGATTACTGCAAGGTTACAATGTAGGTCAACTGGTAGAGCAATGGTCGGCAAAGTGAGAGGTCATTAGTTTGATTCCTCAATTCTCAGGGTTGTAAATTTAAAAAGGGAGATGGTAATGCCTTTGCCTCACAAACCTACGGATGGCTCAGATGGCCATGTATAATTACTAGCAGTCCCATCTCCAGTAATGATTATGAATGTGCATGTAATAACAGTGTCCTTCATACACTGTCAGAAGTACTTTCACTGTACCTAATACATTTGTAACACTTCATGACAGAGGTAAACAGACCAGTTTTTCCCCTTCTTAGGTGCTTATTCCTCTATACATGTAATACAATAAAAATCTTGAAATTCTATATTTTCTAGTGCATTTGATTTCTTGGAAATTGATCTCATGGAAACCTACTCATTTTAGCTCCCCTGTTTATCCACCACAAATGGCTTGGAACAATGTGGTTTCCAAAATCTAGTGAGCTTAAACCCTCTACCATCCCGCCTCTTTCTTTCATTAAGTGAATGGTTAATGAAGATTATGTGGAGTATTATTCATTGTATGCCTTTTATTGTTCATGCTAAGCCGATCTGCTTTCAGCTGTGGGCAATGATGGCTTGTTTTACACTTCCCAAGACTTGGAATATATTTATTTTGTTCATTCACTTTGCCTGCTTGGCAGAGTCCTTCTATACAGTGGTGGAAGAGACTTATTTCCAGTTGTGCTTCCAGACACTGAAGGTAACTTTCCATTGTCTTGTAAATTAAACTTAAAAGATCAACTTTCTCTTGATAAACCTGCAAAATTTTTTTGGGTTATGTGCTATCTGAAGGGAACAATTTACAGACATTTAAGACATGAAAGACCTTTCAAAAGTCAGCATCAAACCACAAACGACTGACAGTTGATTGTTGTTTGTGTTTCAGAAACCGTCACCATTTCTAGTTTACTGGTCGCATTGATTCGGATTATGTGCACAGCTTTGCCTAGATCTGGTACCAAACCTGTTTTAGATGGTAAGAATTTGCTGGATTTTCCAGTTTGCTCAAGTTAAGGAGGCTAGTCTGTGATTTTTGTTCAGATTTGAGTGCACATGTGGCAATTGTGGCCATTTCCTTCTCTTCTGTATTTTACTGAACCAGCCAAGACAGCCTCCTACGAAGACGTTCTTAGGGGTTTATCACGGGTTCCTACTCTACAAAGTGGGAGGATTGCGTGACGAGCCAAAAGAATGTCTGTATGGGAGGCTCTTGGTGAAGACAAGTAAGAGCAAGGCGGTCAACTCTCCCGGATAATCCGGGAGAGGAGACTCCAGATTTTGAACCGTTTCTCCCTTTCTCCAGATTAGAGTTTGAAATCTCCAGGATAAAAGCCAAAGTTTGCCATTTCTTGTAGAATCGACTTTCTGACAATATAACTTGAAGTACAGTGCGTTGTTTGAGCTATTTTACTGTTAATATCGAACGTTTCCTCACAAACTCCAGTATGACATTGTAATATAAGCAGTAATGTTATTGGTGTGAAATAAGCCAATTAGGTCAAATGTTACAATTCCACAATTTTTTTTCGTGCGTACTTTTCACAAATGACATCATGTGACATGTGCATTATGACGTCATCTATCATCCCTCCCCCATCAATTCTCAATTGGGAGCTTAAGCAACGACGACGCGGACGGCAACGAGAACGGCAAAAAAGCAATAGGTTTGATTAACAAAAATAACAACTTTGCACGTGAAAGTGCCTGAATTCACGTTTTGTCGAGGCCGGGAACACAAGACAACAACTTTCTGTTCTTTTCCTGAACTTTGATACAGTCCTAAAGAATTCAACTCCAAAAACATTTGCCAACATTTAACGAAGTAAACGAGATGGAATAAGCGCGATAAAGTTTGAAGCGGTGCGAATTCACTTTTTAAGTGACGTTTTTGTAGCTGTCGCCGTCGTTGTTGCTTAAGCTCCCTAATATTTGAAGACGGGGGGGTGTTGAAAGCCCTGTGAGAGGCTGCACATAGTCTAAGGAGTGAGTGTTGATCTACTTGTCTATTATTTTGCTATCTTTTTCTGAGCACTGCTTCCAAGACATTTAGACACATGATACATTGTGAAGTGTGTTAGTGTAGTGGTGTTGGCTATTAAGACCTGAAGGTCTTCTGCTAAACCTTTTTTCCGTCACTCTCTCTCTCTCTCTCCACCTGCGTACTAGAGAGATTAAGATTGGAGGACGAGGACGAGGACGAGTACGGGATTTAATTTAACGTTTTTGTGCGTGTTCTAAAACAAGACTCCCCGGAAAGCTTCATTTTTCTTTTTTTCACCAAAATGTTAGTGCGGTTTTTTATACTGAAGGAGGTTAATCCCTCTCCCGATAGCAAAATGATAAAACTTCGTACATTTGACAACTTGTTCCCGCCACTACGACATTCTTGCTAAAACTCGTGGTAGAATGACGACGGCTATCACGTTTTCCTGCCAAAATGACGCTGGTTCACGGGTGATGAATACTCAGTATTGAGAAAATCTCGTACTCGTAGTCGTCCTCGTCTCATAATCTAAAGCTCTCTACTGATAAATGTGTACAGTACATTTAAAACACCACAAAGGGTTAGCAACTATAGACTGGTGGCTGGTGTATAACAAATTAAATTTCAGCCTTGCTCACCATAGTGCCTCCGGTAGCTCAGTAATAAGAGCATTCGATCTACAACTCAGAGGGTCCTGATTTCGAATCTCATCTCTCGAATTCTTTCCGAGCCTTCTGACGTTGATTTCAAAATTGCTTTGTTGTACAGTACCTGAAGTCCTTTTTTCTTTATATTATTTTAACAGCGGAATTCCACCCGGGGTATTTAGTTTGTGATGTGCTTAAAGAGATTGCTTCCTGCACAACCTCCTGTATAGAGTGCCTCTGTAAGGTTAGTGGGTATTTTACTCTTACATGTCCTATATCTTTATTAGTCATAAGTTGCCTATGAGACTAGGTTAGTGCTGTGACAAATTGCACCATGCTTTAGTGATGCTGTTGGCCAAAGCGGAAAATACCTTCCTTAAATTTCCGTTTGGATGGTGCTTTATGTAAACCCGACTTTTGCAAAATCTTTTGTTCTCTGCACGATTTGCACGCGCGCAATGCATCAGCTCTTCTTAAGTTTGCACGCACTGGACGTGTAGTTCGTGCCAAAAAAAAAACAACAACAACAACAAAGAAGCAATTCAATAATATACTGCAAAAGTAAGGTTTACATGAAACACCACCGAAATGGTAGTTTTAGAGTCTTTTTCGCTTTGGCCAATTGCTAACTCGTCCTCAGTCTATTTAGATGCGGGAATCGCTGGAATAGCACGCGGAGAAAGGAAGGCGAGAAGCGAGACCGCAGGGTTTTCTCGTTACCATCACCTCTCACGCTCCCCTTGCTTACTACACTTCTTTATAAATGGGGAGTTAAAGATACGGCGACGGCAACGAGAACACCAAAAAAGCAATAGGTTGAATAGGCAAAACAACAACTCTGCATCGCGTATTTTTTGTATATTTCTTTACCATCACTGTACCACTACGACGTTAAAAAGCCTCATTTCACGTTTTATGGAGAACTTAAATAAGTCACGACGAAATTTCCTTTTTTCCTCTGAACGAGGATATGGTTGTTGGGAATTCGACTCCAGAAGAGTTCGGTTGCATTTGACAAAGTAATTGAATTGGGAAAATGGCGATAGAGATTGAAAGAACGCAAATTCACTTTTTAAGCGACAATTTCCTGCCCTTCGCCGTCGTGCTATCTTAAACTCCTGATAGTGAACTTATGCAACACGGCAAACCTAAGTTCTCTGCAATGACGTCCATGAAACAGTACTCTTCACAATGATGGCAACATTTTTCATCGAAATCGTGCTTTTTTTTTCAGGACGCCATCACAACCAGTCTTCTATCTCCAGTGCAGTCATGGCTTGATGTAAGTAGTCTTGTATAGTGTACAGCGGTAGGCAAGAGTTTTAGCGTCGATAGGGAATATGACTATGAGCTTTGGAAACAAGTGTATACACAGTATACACAGTTGCGTAGTTTACTTATTGTAGTTCACGCGCAGTATAATGATGTTTCACCTGTTAAAAACCAACCAAAAACAACGTGTTATGTTTGAAAGGTAGGTTTGATTTGCAGGAATTAAGAAGATGTTAACAGATTTCTAAACATATTTAGATGTTTTCACAATTGTCGCGATATTATTGTCGTAACTTCGTACGGCCCATGTACGATACACGTTTTAGCTACCCGGAAGTAGCGACCTCCTGAAAGCAGCGACAGGAAAAGGCTGCTAAATCCGAAAGTAACGAGGATCGTTACGTTGGGATCTTTACGGTACTGAGAGAAGACAAACAAAGGGAATTAACGCTTTGAATGATGTGAACTCTGTTTGTCTTGTCTCAGTGCGTCTCTTACACGTGAGTGACTAGCTGCAAAGGGCCCAGTGTTTTTCCTTTGTGTGATCATATCCGTAATTCTCATCATCTTTCTGAATAATTAAGCAATGACATTTGGAGGAGAAATGTTATGTCGATTACTTGATAATGTACAGGGAGTAGAGAGCTGTGACAGTGCAGGAGCTGAGAATACCCTTTTGTTAGTAGCTGATGTTTTAGCCACCCTGGCTGTATCAGAGAATGGGCGGAAACAGCTGCTGTATGGAGAGACCCAGGATAGATGGCAAAGAAGCAGGTATGGCTGAACAGTTTCTTAAAAGGAGCTATGTTGGTAACTTATGTTTTCATCTTCATATTTACATCAGGCCTAGTTGTAAGCCTATAACATGGGCGCACTGCTGTCAAGATGGCCTTATCTTGTTCACAGACCCTCTAAACTCTCTTTAGGGATCGTCTAGCGCGCGTAAGGATATAATACCGCGGGGGATTTATTGACCAATGGCGCAAACAGGCTAACATGACTTACTTCTCTTCTCTTCTCTTCTTCTCTTCTCTATGAAAAGCGAATACTCTTACCTCCTAAACAGAGGGCCAGTGTAGTTTTCATTTTGAATAGCAACCGCTTTGTCGGTAATAAGTTTGTGTACAAATTTGCTTCAAATCAATGAGTAGACAGACACCTATTAGATTCAGGGTGGGGCAAACACGAAACTCGTTTCAGTTGTAAAATTCTCTGTTGTTTTTAACGGACCAATTGTTACTTTTTGTAGGTGGTATTATACCCTCCAGAATAATTTTTGTGCGAATTATTTTCTAAGCGTTCCCTCTTTTCTCCACAATTCAGGTTTTCTTCTGCTCATACTATAGCTCAGTTTGCCAAAAAAGCATTATCCGACAGACTTCCGGGAGGAACTCCTTCAAAAGCAGTTATATCAGGTTTTGTGTTTGTTTGTCGACAACTGTACAACACTTGTGATGGACTCATGGTACTCAATCCGTATGAGCTACACCAGTTTGTAGCCAACGCCTGGATTAAGGTAAGTGTTTGGTGTTTCACACCNCATGTACGATACACGTTTTAGCTACCCGGAAGTAGCGACCTCCTGAAAGCAGCGACAGGAAAAGGCTGCTAAATCCGAAAGTAACGAGGATCGTTACGTTGGGATCTTTACGGTACTGAGAGAAGACAAACAAAGGGAATTAACGCTTTGAATGATGTGAACTCTGTTTGTCTTGTCTCAGTGCGTCTCTTACACGTGAGTGACTAGCTGCAAAGGGCCCAGTGTTTTTCCTTTGTGTGATCATATCCGTAATTCTCATCATCTTTCTGAATAATTAAGCAATGACATTTGGAGGAGAAATGTTATGTCGATTACTTGATAATGTACAGGGAGTAGAGAGCTGTGACAGTGCAGGAGCTGAGAATACCCTTTTGTTAGTAGCTGATGTTTTAGCCACCCTGGCTGTATCAGAGAATGGGCGGAAACAGCTGCTGTATGGAGAGACCCAGGATAGATGGCAAAGAAGCAGGTATGGCTGAACAGTTTCTTAAAAGGAGCTATGTTGGTAACTTATGTTTTCATCTTCATATTTACATCAGGCCTAGTTGTAAGCCTATAACATGGGCGCACTGCTGTCAAGATGGCCTTATCTTGTTCACAGACCCTCTAAACTCTCTTTAGGGATCGTCTAACGCGCGTAAGGATATAATACCGCGGGGGATTTATTGACCAATGGCGCAAACAGGCTAACATGACTTACTTCTCTTCTCTTCTCTTCTTCTCTTCTCTATGAAAAGCGAATACTCTTACCTCCTAAACAGAGGGCCAGTGTAGTTTTCATTTTGAATAGCAACCGCTTTGTCGGTAATAAGTTTGTGTACAAATTTGCTTCAAATCAATGAGTAGACAGACACCTATTAGATTCAGGGTGGGGCAAACACGAAACTCGTTTCAGTTGTAAAATTCTCTGTTGTTTTTAACGGACCAATTGTTACTTTTTGTAGGTGGTATTATACCCTCCAGAATAATTTTTGTGCGAATTATTTTCTAAGCGTTCCCTCTTTTCTCCACAATTCAGGTTTTCTTCTGCTCATACTATAGCTCAGTTTGCCAAAAAAGCATTATCCGACAGACTTCCGGGAGGAACTCCTTCAAAAGCAGTTATATCAGGTTTTGTGTTTGTTTGTCGACAACTGTACAACACTTGTGATGGACTCATGGTACTCAATCCGTATGAGCTACACCAGTTTGTAGCCAACGCCTGGATTAAGGTAAGTGTTTGGTGTTTCACACCCGAGGGGTCTTCAGTTCAGTTACTTATTTTGCCACAGTAAAATAGATAGTATTTAAATAAATACCTGAATTGTTAAACTGGCAAGGGAGCCCAGAAGAAACCAAGAGATGAGTCTACCACCATCATCCTCAGTTAAGTTTCCATAGACAAATCTTACATTTCAGGCACTAAATACGATAAGAGGTTTTATATAAATAGTCACAAAGCAAGGTTTTCTTGGAGTTAGAGCCACGTGGTAAAGAAACGCGCATTTTTTTTCGAAAACGATTTAAGGCAAGAGAAACCAATGCTGTGCTCTAAGAAAAAATGAAAGTCACTCAGTTATTTGAACCTGTGAAATCCAGGGTGCCCGGTATATGATTTCTATGAAAAAGGTAAGATTTTCGAGTTGTCTGGGAGCAAAGGTTAGATACAAGGGGCCACTGGGCTCTGCTAGAACACAGCCTTGGAAAGGACTGCCGGACCGAAAGCCGCCGGCTAAAATTATGAGAAGTCTCCATCCTTCCTTGGGTACATTACTTTGTTCTTTTTTTTTTTTTTTCCCTATGGAAACATCGAAATAACTTTGTTAAGTTTGTTTAACTTCATCAGCTATCATTGTTTAACGTAGGTGTATGAATCAGCGTCTTCTGCTGATGAAGTATTGGCTCCCGACGAAACGTCACCAGAAGAACACGAAGAGCTGTAAGTAACGTCAGTTAGCTCGTTTATTAACATGGTAGACCATTTCACGATTGCTTTCATGACTGCATGGACTACATGTAGCTAGCGAAAATCCATCGACGTCCCTATAAAGAGCGCGCTAAGATAAATAAACGTTCTTTCAAGTTAATACGGTATTCTTGTAAGTGTGAGCTCAACTAAACAGCATTAATTTTATTTTTCACTTAGGTTTGTTTGGGAAAGTTCGCTGATTGACAACTTGTTGAATTTTGCCGGCACTCCCAAAGGATTATTGCTTCTGCAACAGACGGGAAAGATGAATGAATGCGTAGCGTACATGAATGAGAGATACAACAAGAAATTACAAGTACGGAAAAATAGCCGTTTTCCTCTTCAAACTGTTCTATATTCATCACTTATCGTACCAGTTAAAATAATTTGTTCAAGAAAACAAACATTATGTCTCTGGTGATTATTTCACTAACCGCGTACGATAGCCCACAGTACCGACAAAGTACCAGCGAATTTTGTCCCGACGTTGGAAGCTCCGTAGAGGTCTGATCATGGTAATTGTTTTGTAGGTTAGCAAGTGTGAAAAGTTTGGTTACGGAGTAATGGTGACACAGATTGCTGCTACTGCTCCAGGAATGGTGGCACTGGAAAATAGAGGTGGGAAGAGAACTCAGTATGTTGTCGAAACGTCACGATCTAAATCTCAAGTGACTACATTTTGAGACAAAAGATAACTTAACAGTGGTTTCAGGGGGAGGAAAAACTGAGGTTGATATCCTGTAGAGGTGGTCACTTGCGAGGCGCTTTCGCAAGTTGAGGCTCGATTGCAGTTCGATTTTTTGGCACCCCGTGAACTTTGTTCCGCAATTCTTTCTCCTTAAAGAGAGGTGTAGCCTGCGAACCGCAGACTTATCTCCGGTCGTCGCTCCGAAAAAACCGGATGCTCTCGCAGGCTTAGAGAGGTGAGGCTAAGGCCCAGTTCATCCTTCGAATTTCATTTACCGAACCTTTTCCTTTCAATTAACACATGAAATCAAGAGTCCGACATATCTAATGTGGGTCGACCCATGAATTAAATTAAGTTCGAGTGGCCCACGTGGGAATAATCGACTGTAGAGGGACTTCGTTTCAAACGTCGAACGTTTCATTTGCCAAATGTAACGCATAAATTACTATATTTGTTTTAATTGGTAAGCATTGTACATCACCGTATATCGTGAAAATGAATTAAATCCGGCTAATAAACTTCGACGTTTGAGTCAACCGTCAAACGTATATCATTTTGGGCCGACCCAAATAGATATTACGTTCGGTACATGAAAAGTTCACTGTTTGAATTGAGCCTAACCCTGCTATCGCGTCCCCTTTTGCGTGTCGCACACGCATGGCATGACTTCTCGCGACTCCTCTAAGTGGAGAGCTTGCTTGCAGGCTACGATAGAAATGCAGAGGAAACATTCATGACCACATGTTGTATCGTTTGTCTCTGTAGGTTTTCTAAAGCGGTTGGTTAGTGACATTTGGACAGTATTTGAAGGTGGTCAGGACAGGAGACCCGCTCCTCCCAGAATTAAACACGTGGACAGCATCGATAGCAGAAGTTACAACAAGGTTTGCTGAATGCTTTCCTCTTACTGATTACTCCCAGTAGGCGAAATTGATGGGACATAATTGTCTATTAACAAGCCTTTTCCATTTCAAAAATATCAGAAACTTCAAACAAAAAAAACTTTACTTGAGCTAGACTCATTTATGATGAAAACTAAACACAATGGAAATAAAAATCGAACTGTATTTTCTTAAAATATAGAACAAAAATCCAATTATATTTCCTTATCTTCGTGACTCTAACATGCCGTGATATATGACAAAAAGGTTTTTTCATAAACATCTTATTGAACTTATTATCCCCATTTGCATAGTTTGAATTGTTTGTTAGTCCGGTAAACTGTATGTTATCGTCTTCCAGTCTCTGAACAATCTCTTGAGCGTATTGTCAGCATTCCCGGCGGTGTATGAAGTCCTGGGCGATGTTTACCGCCCTTCGACATCTGGTTCGGAAATGGAGGAGACCATTACAAGCAGGGAGGCATACTGTCCACCTGTCTGTATTATGGTGAGTGAAGCTGCTTGGTAACTATTAGCTAAGAGTTCAGCACATTTTTGACCTTTCTCTGGAGAAAACTGGAAACAAACTGAACTATTCAAAAGCAGTAACCGGAAGTTGTCCTTTGAGAAGTAAACTTAAAGTTGCCTGCAGGCTAGGATATCCTGTACCTATTACAAGAATCAAGATTATTGCTGGCATAGAAGAGTGGGGAAAAAACAGTGTTATGTTCCCACAAATAACGGTGATTACGGTAACAGTGATCATAATGTTGGTGGTGGTGTGACAATGCCAATGCATTGTCTGACAAAAACCTTTTTGGTAACTAACACCTCCTTTTTTCTCCTGTAGGATTTTGTTGATCGCTTTATCATGATTGATTCGGAGGAAAAGATTCATTCTCTTTTTAACTTTGAACAGTCACATCACTTCGGGCTCAGGTAAATAAGCTAAAAAGAAATTATAGTCGATCACAGAAATCACGTTAATTTACAGGGAATGGCTTCTTTCTCCAAATGTATTGTCACATAGATTCTTTTTTGAATTTAAAAGCATAGGCTCCGGTTTTCGTGCATGCTATATTGCATGCAACAATTTCAGGAGTTGACACAATGTTGCAATTTACCAATGAAGCACATATGAAAATCATATCACACCGGAAACAGCTATTGTTCCAGGACCCAGGCAGTAGTGCGCAGGTTCCAAGTGTGAACAGAGCCTAAAATACTTGACCTGGAAGCGCAGAGGTGGCTACCGGGTGGAACTTTCGTGGCTCTGGAAAAAAAATTGCTCTATAAGAACTCATTTCCAAAGAGCAAATTTCGCGATTGATTCTTTCCTGTACGCTGTTTGAATCGACATACTTTTTTAATGTTATTTTTTCGTCCTTTTTTTTTACGCAGAGTGTTAAACGTTCTCTGTTCCTGTCTGGATACGTTTCTTTTTCTGGAATGCCGCTATCGCTTTCAAGAGCTTCTCCTACAATCTCAACTGGACAACAGATTAGACAATGGGTGAGGGACCGATTATGAAGAACTTATTCTGCTGCTTGTTTAGAACTCTTTTCCCCACTAGTTATTATTAGTGACGAGAGACTCCAAGTAAACGCAGAAAACCTGGCTGTTTTGTATTTGTTTCCTTAGAGGAAAGGTGTAAATTTTGTGCTATTTCCTATCCATTATTCTATGCAATGTTACTTCGTTACACCATGACTTTTTGACAGTAACACATTGTTACATTGCTGATTTTTCCTGTTCCTGGTTATAGACATTGTTTTTTTCTCCATGATATAGCAAGGATTATATCATCGACATGTGCTCTGTAGAAAGAAACCAAATTCTTGTCAAAACCTATCTTGTTGGGGGTACATCAGAGAGAAACGTTCCTGGCAGGACTCTTACTGAGGTAAGAGGTGGCGAAGAAATCTTTCATAGACTACGAGCAGTCTGTCTATTTTCTTAGTCGTTTCTCGTTTCTTTCGTGTTTTTGTTTTTCTTTTCAACAATGTTTCCCTTTTCTTTTCTCCCAACAGACATCCTTATATACTCCTACCGTAACTAAAACTCTCTTCCCCTTCTTTCAACGGCTCACTCTATTCGTCTTTTCATTGCGTGTGACGTGTTAAATCTTATACCCTTTCCGTTAATTATTTTAATTAATTTTGTTGCAGGATGTTGATAATCCTTATCCCTGGCCCCTGTTTTCCTCTTATCCTCCACCAAAGGATTATCTTCCAGTCGAGCAGATTCCCAAGATAACAGCATTTGAAGAAGGTACACTCGGGAGAAAATTTTTATGTTCTTTGAGGCCAAATTTTGAAAGTATATTACCACGGGCAACTTTAAAGATTGCTTTCCTTTTACTGTCCAAGAAACCATGGGAAATCCCTCTGTAATAGTTGCCCGTTAACGCTCGGAAATGTTCGGATAGTTATCGAGTGGCTCGTTGCTTTCGGAAGCCTTTTGAATGATGAACTCGGATTGACCCGACTGTTGCTATAACACCCTAGTGAATGCATTGGTCACTAATGATTTGCGAAATATTTCATTACAGGTGACTCTCTTTTGGAGTTCTTGGAGAGTTCTCAGCCAATGTCAGCTGACAGGTAACGTGAACAGTTTTTTTTTTCTCTCATAGCATTGGTGGCTGTTTCAACGTGCAAAAGTGCCTTAAGTCTTAATTTCTTGAACATTCCCGAACATGCATTTTTAAGTCTCGATAAAAAAATTTTACCTTGCAGACGTACTTTAGACAAATAGGTTTCATTTAAATGATTTCTCAATAGGATGCTGCGCACAGCGTTTAGAAAACGTTTTTTCTGAGCAAAATCCTCTTCATTTTGGTCTTATAGTTTGAAGTGGCTTCAAGACTGTCGGAAGACGTTTTGCGAGTCTCTAACATCAGGGAAAACTAAGCCACGAGGCAAAGGTTTGTATTGGTTTTCGTTTAATCATATAATGGACAGACAAAACAACATGCGTTCTAATATTTTTTCTTTGACAGTGTTGAAGTTGTTGCTCGAGAAGGTTTGCACAGCAATGACAAACATTCCAGAAGAGGCCATATTCCCTTTGATTGACTTTTCAGGTATACTAAGCAAATAATAGAGAGCTTTAGATCTGAGGACGCGCACGAGTACGAGTATGAAATTTAACTTTTTAAAGTTTTTACGCGCTTTTTCTCAAGAAAGTAAAAGACTTCCCGGAAAGCTTCATTTTACTTTTTTTCACCAAATCAGTTCGTACGGTTATTTATTCTGAAGGAGGTTACACCCTCTCCCGATAGCAAAATGATAAAAAGTCTTACTTTTGATAACTTGTTCCCGCCACTACGACATTCTCGCTTAAACTCGTAGTAGAATGACGACGGCTATCACGTTTTCTCGCCAAAATTTTCACGGGTGACGAATACTCAGTATTGAGAAAATCTCGTACTCGTAGTCGTCCTCGTCTCAGAATCTAAAGCTCTCTAATTGTCTTTACTACCAATTTCTTAACATATCATAAGCAAAGATCAAGACCAGTCGGCGCGAAGAGTCGTTGTTTTAAGTTTATCGATTTATTTTGCATTTTGCAGCAAGCGAAACCAGCCTGAAGAACATGGAGCTATCTGAAATAGAGAGCCTGGGCACTAAAGTAGCAGTGCGGTACGGTGTTCAACTAAAGCTTCTCCAGTCAACCACGGACGGAGTGGAAGACTTGACGTACTTACTGAAAAACTGCAAGTTTCTTCTTCAAGGTCAACAGCGGACTACGGACGCCACTTTACGTATCCTAATTGTAACATAAATCATGACCATTGGCCGAGCTATCGCTTATTGAAAAAATGAATCATTATTTTGATGACATCGATGATAGCATTTAATGAAACTGCAAAGTTTGGGAAGAAAAAAACTGTTGTATGCTCAAGCCTGGTTCTCTTATACCACCGGTGTACCTACGACGTAGCCATCAGACTGCCTGCGATACTGGTCAGACATATAAGAATATCGCAGGTCTTTGCTGGTGTGCTTGCGAAGCTGAACTCGAATATACTTCGCAGGCAAACGGCTTGAACTCTGTTGTCGGCACCTTCTTCTGTTCTCATACGGGAACAGTATTCCAGGCAGTACCGGCAGCTATGTCGTGGGTAGCTTGCGTGGCAAATGAGAACCAGGCTTAATTTCGGTTTGTGATGGTTTCTTCCTCTCTTGACTAACTTTATGTTATAGTTAAGCAACCTTTTAACGGTTAAACTAAGTTTAGCGGTCTTTTGGCCGTTCCCTAAGGAAGACTTGGCCCGGTTCTTCAAAAGATAGTTATTAGTTTAAGCCAAGATTAAGCCAAATTTTAAGCACGGTCTTCTTGTCTAAGAAAAATCTAAGAACATGTTAACTCAAGCTTACTCTGAGATATAGTTCTGATAACACCAAATGTTACTTTAAACAACGCATAGGAAGGTAAATAAAAAAATGGAACAAAATTTAATCCTGAATTAACGTTAATCGGCCTTTCAGGAACCGGTCCCAGATTAATACCAAGTTATTATCAATTTAACTTAAAACACATTTTATTCCACCTTTAATATGACTATTCCTTGACTCCGTTTTTCCTACTTTCTGTCCTACTGCACCAGGCACGCTAAGTGGTGACTATGTCGGCCATGACTGGTTTGTTTCCACAGTTTTTCTCATGATGTACGGTGATCCTGATCTCTCATGGGAATTCCTTTTTAAATTCTCTAGTCTCGTCAGTTCTGGTTATCTCTGGGTCCGCAGGCTTCACGCTTCGGTAATGTAACTTTTTTGAATATAACACTCTATTGCGGTTTCCGCGCCCATTGCAGATTCTCTGCCATTTTTAAAAGAGATTTTGAGTCACGTTTATGGAAAACAGCAAACGCCAGATTCGGTTCTCAAACGTGGAAATTTTTAAAGAAAAACTCTTCAAAATAACTGCATAGATATGAAGAACATTAAACGATGAATAAGGAACACTTGGTCGCCTGGTACAAACTGCATGATGTATGTCGTTTGCCGTAAACGTGATTCTAAATATCTCTAATAAATAACAATTTAGTGGTTGGTAGTAGTGGTTCTTTCTTCTCCATTCCAGTTTAAGGTGTTTCGATACAGTTTCTCGATATCACTATGACAACAATAAATAAAAAACTCTAAAATCGATCAAATCCGAATTTCGCGCGATTTAGACCTGCTACTGAAAATCTCAAAGTGTGGTGTTTAACAAATAACCTCCGTGAGAAGGAAAAATTCTGTATATTTGAATTCAAGTAAAACTTAAATATATTTCAAACCTTCAATTTTCAATAGCCGTAACAAATTGTGTAATAAAAAAGTTCTTAATAACTCAAATTAATCTTAAGTAGCGTCAGAAGGCTGCTTAATATCATATTTTCGATGCATGGAAATTTTGGTGTATTTCCTTTCTTGCGATCCTGAAAACCAACCTGTTTTCTTACCCACTGTCCAAGTGCAACTTTATTCTGAATTTTGACTTTTAGCGCTTTTCTGTATATCTCTAAAACGGCTCGACAGAATTCTTTTTAACCCTTATCACACAATCTCCATGATCTATAAATTAATGTGTGAAGCATTGATTGGGATTGATTCACTGCGACACCTTGAAATTTCAAGACGAATCTAGCCTACGAACCGACCAAAAATCCGCGTTACAACATCCACTGTTTTGACGTTATGCTAATTTTTCCAAATTAATGCTCACCATACATACCTCCAAGGCTAGTACATCTTGGTTTCAGGGAAACTGTTTACCTACCCCTCCCCTAAGCCAACAGTTTGCCCTAAGTGGAAGTAAGTGATAATGTTGACGTAGGGGAGGGGTGGGTGGTCAGTTTCCCAGGAACCTAAATTAATCCCATTTTAGTATGACTTTAACTGCATATTTTGAATGTAAAACATTGTCAAAGCTCACATTGAAATGTACTAGCCATGGTAAATGTATGGTTTTGTTTGAATTTAAACATACAGAAGTTTTTACTTCTCACGGAGGTTATTTGTTAAATACCAAACTTTTTTAAGTTTTTCAGCAGCAGGTCTAGATCGCGCGAAATTCGATTTTAAAATTTTTTGTTTATTGTTGTCACAGTGATATCGATTTTACTTAAAACTTCATTTTGACAAACTTAAATTCATAGTTATTCACTGGTGAAAATTTTGTGGCGATCGGACAAGGATAACATGACTTTTAAGGCGATTGAGAAACATCGGTATGGTCTGCGAGAAACTGTATCTAAACACCTTAAGAACTGAAAAATGTTGTCTGCTTTTTAAGCACAGAGAAAAACCGGTGTACCTGGAAAAAAATCTCCTAGAGCGAAGGCGAGAACCTACAACAGTTTAACCCTTGTATTTCGCACCGATGTTCTCGTCCCATGTAAAGTAATCCAAGAAAGGCTTGGATTCTGGATTCTACTGCCCCTTGAATTCCCTTACGAGGCGAGATATTCAGATTGATTTCAATCTAATCCGTGCCCTTACCTTCCCCTCCCCCCTTGGGCGCAGAGAGTATCACTGGAGGGAGGGGCTAGGGTGAGGGGATATTACCCAAGGGGTTCCTAAGTGAGGTGTACATTTCTCCATTGTTTGCAGGTGCATTTGCCGTTGTCTCTTACCGTCAGCGGTATCCCTCCACTCTATTCATGCTCGTGTCACAACGTGGAGTTAATACTAATGGTAAGTATAGAGTCGCTTGCGCTTAAAATTTTAAGATTTCCGCAGGAGGTTTTTGAAAATTTGCCCCTCATTTGTTTGTGTTTCAGGCTGAGGTACCTCTGGTGTATTCTGCCTTTAGGATGTCTGGTTACACTCCATCACAGGTCAGTGCTGTTGCTTTTAAAAGGAGATGAAACTCAAACAGTAGGATCTGCCTCCAAATTGAGTAAACCATAAAAACAACCGCTCAAAACGTTAGAAGAAGGTAGAATTAAAACGGCAAATGCAAAAGGAGGATGAAGATTGAAACGGATCGTACTTGTTTTCGTTTTCTGTTTCGTTGTTGTAACGTTTGATATTATGCATGAGACTGAGACGTATTCGTTCGACACAAAGCTGTGATTTTGTCATTCAGTCACAAGTAATTTCTGAAGTTCCATGGCAAATAAAGACGCGTAACTGGCATTGAAAACAGGTTGAAAAGAAAATACACTAACAGCCATGACACAGCCGCTTTGAAGCCGGGGACATTCTTGGCTCATTCTTCTATAAACAGCTCGTTCTCAGAGCTTCCTTGCGCCCCCTTTTTTCTTAATCTTGCTCCTCAGTCAACTTATTTGCATGCTAATTTATCCAGATGCATATAGTGACCCTTTTCTAGCGCCTCTACATAATATATCCCGTGTCATGATCTGTTGAAAAGTGAATGAATTGAGCCAAGAGGATGAAATTAGTAGCAGCATTCTTTATTGCTTTTCCAAACAAAGCTCACATTTATCAACGATCGCCATACAGTAACATCTCCCGTCATTTTAAATACAGTCTAGCAGCTGGACATTTATGAACCACTAACAACTAATGAATTTAGACGCACGTATGGGTGTCCGTTTAAACGACAGTTTTTTTACTGGTTCTTTAGTGTGATTTTCACCCTTCATTTAGTCAAAAGCGAACGCGTTATTAAAGAAATAAGAAACCATCTTTAGGCTTTGACCGGTCTTATTTTCATCTCTGCTCGTTTAACGGAGTAATTTGCTCCCTTCCATGAGACCCAGACCATCCCTTCCCAGGATTTAGAATGTTTGCCGTGTAGATAAACACCATTTAGACTTGAGATGATACAGTCACTGTACCACCATGCTCCCTTAAAACGCGATGCACAGTTTTGATTCCAGCTGTCGTTGTCTCGATCTTTAGTTGTAAATCCATAACCACGATGTCGGCCGAGCGAGTCGCCAGCAGTTCCTGAAAAATATGCATTTGACAACGTAGAATAAGCCTTGGGTTGGAAAATGAAATGTTTGTCATTTCAAATGCTTGGACAAAGAAAAAACTCCGAGCCCCGACCGAATTCGATGACCTCCCAGAATGCCAACCGGGTGCTCTTATCACTTCAGAGTTTGGTAGAACTCATGGTAAGCAAGGCCATCTACTAAGTTCATAAATGACACGCGTCCGTTGCTTCCTGAGTCGTGATAAACTGAATTTTTGGCCAAAAACGTGAAGCTCGGTGAATAATGTGAAAATAGACATTTACCGCCGGAGTTGACAAAGGCCGTGAAACAAATGCGGCATTGTTAGAATGACACTAAAGTTTTCCAATTTACGGTGCAGTTTATAGAAAAAAGTACAGGGTGTTTTTTACGTTTTTCCTCGTTTGTTTCATTTAATTGTTGTTGCTGCCTCTGTTTACTACGTGCTACCCTTGCCATATCTCTGGGTTACACCTCTGCGCGACCACACGTTGGAATGCTTGTTTGGGTAACCATATAGTTTCCACATGATACGATTTCGGTTTTACTTATCTTGTTTGTACCGATGTCGATTTTTTCACTTTTGAGCTTTAACATTTGTACTCACCGGAGTATGTTCCTAAACTCAGCTTGTACTTGCTTCTCTCACTGGAAACACCAAAAAAATCATACTCAGCGTAAGCCGTTTTTCCGTTCGTGTCCTCAAGATCCACCCGAAGCCTGCTTCGTAATATCGTCAGGCGGTGAATCTTGTCCAGGCCGAGCCAAAATTCACCATTTAGATTCCCAAAGCCTCGTTTGTAATCATCCCAGCCGCGGTAGAAATCAACCGAGCCGTCTAGTCTCTTTTGGAGCACTGTCCACCCTCCACCGGCTGTTGTTTGGTCACAATAAACATCGAAAGCTCCGGCATTGTCAGGGTTGATTGTGTAGACACCGCTCTTTCGTTGTCCAGCTTTGTAAAGTTCCGCGCAGTTCCTGTACCCTAAAAATAAAATGCAAATACTGTTTCTTTGGTAACACTTGGGTTGTTCGTTTTTGATTTGGTGTCAAAGGTGGACTAATCTTTGTATGTATTTCCTTGGTGTGTAGTTATACAGTAGAATCCCGATTTCTCGAGCTCTCGGTTTTTCGAAATCCCCGATAATTCGAGCCAAACCTAACATCCATTCACTTCAAACTCTGTAATTTTACCCCCGATTTTTCAAACCTGCGTATAATTCGAACCAATTTGCCTTTGCCAAGGTGGTTCAAAACTCGTTATTCCACTGTAAACTCAAATGGTGATTTTCAGCGCGAAGACAAGATATTACCTTGAGAGGTCGTGTTGTTTTCCTTTAAAGACCTGATTTCCTCCCTCATCTCGCTTAACTCGTTCTTAACATCATGTAGCAAGACTTCGATCTTCTTGCTGAGCCCTGTGCAAAACGTATTGTAAGTATTGTACACGTTAGGTGCGCTGTCTTTCACTTGGGTGCCCTGAGAAGCATTAGAGACTTTACAGTAGGCAGGACCAAGTGTAACCAGAACAGAAAGAGTGTAGATTAAACTCAGGAAAGATCGCGAGCAAGCCATGATCGTCTTACACGTCAACAACCGAGTTCGCTGACTACGATAATCCACGATAGACTTGGCTGTTTTCATTGAAATTACCTTTTTACGTCTCTTTCTGACAAGCTGAGTTTTCAGGTTTTGAAACATTTATTTTCGGTAGGGTTATGAACTGTATATGACGCAAGGAGAAACTGAGTTGTATGAAATATTCATTAGCAGACCGAGTAAGCAGTCGGCATTTGATGACTTTAGTGATAAAAATGTACGTGTAAATTCTCAGGCCCCAGATGGTCAAAAGTGGGATAGCGCTATCCACTAGGAAAACCGTTTGCTTTATCCACTGGATAGAGATTTATCCATTGGATTGCTTTAACAACCTTTTGGTTAACTGGGCCCTGGGCCAAAACGTTAAAAATCCTCAAACACAGTTGAACCTCTATTAAGGAACCACTCTTTATTTACAGCGACCAGGCGCCCGTTTTGACCGGGGCCAAAACGTTAAAAATCCTCAAACACAGTTGAACCTCTATTAAGGAACCACTCTTTATTTACAGCGACCAGGCGCCCGTTTTGACCGTTTTCATTAACTGGGTCGTTAGAGCTGTTGATGTTTACATTCAAGATCGAGGTTTCAATAAATATGATGAAAGAATCAGATAACAGAACAAACAGTGGACTGGTTTGTTAGTTAGGACTCGCGCTCTTATTCTTCAGGTTTTGACTTAAACATTTAAATTTTACTTAGGCTAATATGCCGTTTTTCTATTCAACTGAGTGCCAGTCTTGAGTGTTCGGGCGTCTAAAACTGTTTGTATTTCATCGCTACAGTTTATATGAAGAATACCCCGAGGGGATTTTTTTTCACGAACCTTTTAAGAGAGACATTGGTGACCACTCTTGCTCAAAAATAAACTCGTGGTCGCTTTCTACACTACTGCAGTTTCAGGTCAGATATGTTAAAGGAATTTTAAGTAGCGTCGAACATTTTCCCTAGAGGCATTAATTTACTCCTTGAGTATTTTTGGCGTCCTTATATAAACAAGCTAAGAGAGGTTGAAGCTGAAGAAAATTTGCATTTCAAAAAGTGACATTCCTGTCACATTAACGACAGGTCTGCAGAATAATTTTTTTTTTCATTTTCCGGTGACAAAATTAATTGAGGCTACTTTCTCACCGTAGCGGTCGAATTTTCGACCGGCTAAAAAATTTGGCCGGACACTTGTTTACACGGAACCGTTCAATATTTTTGCGCTGTTCACACTTGACTGTCGAACCGTAATATTTCCAAGGAAAGTGAGTAATACCACGACTCGTAAATCCATGTTCGCAATATCTGTTCGTAATTTTCTAGCCTGTTCACAGACCCTCTGTTTTCTCTTCAAAGTCCTTCGAGCGCGCGTGATAAAGAAAAATAAAGCAACGCTGTGTACAGGCTTAAGGGACAGGCTGGTAATTTTCCTCTCTTTTTCCAGCATCCATGCAGCCACGCCTTTTTTGACAAAAAAATTTAGCCGGTCATGGTTTTCACACCTTGCCGTTCAAATTTTCGACCGTACCGTAATATACCGTAATATATAACTTTGACCTCGGTTTTAACGTTCAAATTTTTGAACGTCTTTGCGTTCAAATTTTTGTACGGTTAGCGCGGTTCCTTGTGAACGAAGTACCTAACCGTACGAATTTTCGGCCGGTCAAAAATTCGACCAGTAGCTTGTGAACCTAGCATCTGTGTGCAAAGGAAAGTGGCTTGACGGGGAGCAGCGTTGGCAAGCAGGGGCCTGGAGAGAGAGAGGTCTGATCCCTGCCAGCAATAGCCCACGTTCGTTATATTAGGCTGTTTTAGCAACAGAACGGGAACGTCAGTTTACGACGGCGCGCGCATATTAAACAGCTGGTTTGACCAATGGCAGAGCGGCCACTTGGGCACCGGAAGTCGAGTTTAGTCCTTTCCGCGCGCTTTCCGGGCGTCAAATGACGTTCCCGTTCTGTTGCGAAATCAGCCTATTATGAAAAACCAAGAGAGAATGAAAAACTAACATGACTCCGAGGCTTTCTGGCTTTTTTCCATATTTGGTTCGGTTTTCTTTGTGCTCAAGTCTGTTCTGGCAATTGCGAGACAACGGAGTCATGAAAAATTTGCAATTTTGACCCTAAAGCCTCGGCGTCATGTTAAAATTTTAATATATCGAACGTAGGCTATTCCCCCAAGCTCTCCAATTATGGCGAGCGAAGCAGATTTGCGTCTCCTTTCGCGTGCGGCTCTTGCGTGACTTCTCGCGACTCCCCGAGTGGAGAGCTTGCTTGCAGGCTATGTCGCGTCGGAAACCCAGCCTTGTTGTTGTTGTGGTTGTTGTTGTTGTTGAGTTCTCCTCGGGAAAAGGCTTTTGAAGCTCACCTTTTCATTTTATCAGAGCTCTTGTTTGACAAAATCCTTTCCAGGGTTCCAATGAGATTTTTTTTTTCGCGTGGCGGGAAATTTATAGGTCGGCCGCTGAGGCTGAGACATCTTCTGCCAAAGGCTGCAGCCTTGGGAGACAAATCGCGGTCACCATGAAAAGCTGGACTCGTCAAAATGAAAAGTCTTTGCATGATACCTAGGTTAACGAAATCCTATCAGCAGTCGGACACGATAACCGGACTGATAAAATACTGAAAAACTATTATTTTGAAGTTGCAATTTTCATTGAAAGTCACCTTAATTTGTTCCCGGGATGTCCGACTAAACCGAGGTGCTGGTCGGGTATATACTCTTTCTTAAATAAAGTATTATTTGCAGGGATGTTTATGCTTTGTTTTCATAGATTTTTTTGCCTTATTCACTCCAGATCTGTCAGCACTGGTTACGTCAATGTTTCTGGAACTACCTTGATTGGGACGAGATCTGTTTGTACATTTGTACTTGTCTCACAATGGGCATTGATTATCAGGTACTATAAGATGTTCAAAGAAGCGCGTCATAATGTAGGAGCAAGTTGTGGGCTATTTTTATGAAATAAATTTTAAAAACTGTTGATCTTTTTATTAATCTTATTATTTTTCATTTTTATTATTTTTCAGGTGTACTTTTGTATTGCAGTTTTACGTCATTTACAACAAGACATTCTACGAAAAACGCAGCAACAGCAGCTTCTAATCTTCTTAAAGGTAGATGGCAATGAACTGCACATTAAACGCTAAAGAGTAGGCTTCCATTCATTTCTTTACAAACGGAGATAATCAAGAGAAGATGTGGTATAAATCTAAATTTAGTGCCAGTGAACATTATCTTATGATGTAGCCATTCAAGTGAAACTTCTTTAGCCGTTACATGACGCCGTTAGTTTTTCTTTTAGGCTTTCCCTCTCCGCCCCAATTTCTTCTACTCTCCTTTTTACTATTAATTTGAATAATTACCTTTTTCTTTTGCTGTAAGTGGCTGTAAGGAAAGAAGGAGGACCGGTGGCGGTCTATTTTTCTTTATTTCAATTAAATTCGAGTTTTCCCTCTCTTTCGATGTTTGGCCTTCTTCGGAGCGATAAGATTTAGCCTGCGAGCAAGCTTTCCATTTGGGGACATTATATCGTCTTAAACTCCACCGCGATTTCTTCCATTGGCAATATTTTTCTCTTGTCTGCCCCTTGAGAAACCCCGTGACATTGCCTTAATCCNGACCAATGGCAGAGCGGCCACTTGGGCACCGGAAGTCGAGTTTAGTCCTTTCCGCGCGCTTTCCGGGCGTCAAATGACGTTCCCGTTCTGTTGCGAAATCAGCCTATTATGAAAAACCAAGAGAGAATGAAAAACTAACATGACTCCGAGGCTTTCTGGCTTTTTTCCATATTTGGTTCGGTTTTCTTTGTGCTCAAGTCTGTTCTGGCAATTGCGAGACAACGGAGTCATGAAAAATTTGCAATTTTGACCCTAAAGCCTCGGCGTCATGTTAAAATTTTAATATATCGAACGTGGGCTATTCCCCCAAGCTCTCCAATTATGGCGAGCGAAGCAGATTTGCGTCTCCTTTCGCGTGCGGGTCTTGCGTGACTTCTCGCGACTCCCCGAGTGGAGAGCTTGCTTGCAGGCTATGTCGCGTCGGAAACCCAGCCTTGCTGTTGTTGTGGTTGTTGTTGTTGTTGAGTTCTGTTCGGGAAAAGGCTTTTGAAGCTCACCTTTTCATTTTATCAGAGCTCTTGTTTGACAAAATCCTTTCCAGGGTTCCAATGAGATTTTTTTTTTCGCGTGGCGGGAAATTTATAGGTCGGCCGCTGAGGCTGAGACATCTTCTGCCAAAGGCTGCAGCCTTGGGAGACAAATCGCGGTCACCATGAAAAGCTGGACTCGTCAAAATGAAAAGTCTTTGTATGATACCTAGGTTAACGAAATCCTATCAGCAGTCGGACACGATAACCGGACTGATAAAATACTGAAAAACTATTATTTTGAAGTTGCAATTTTCATTGAAAGTCACCTTAATTTGTTCCCGGGATGTCCGACTAAACCGAGGTGCTGGTCGGGTATATACTCTTTCTTAAATAAAGTATTATTTGCAGGGATGTTTATGCTTTGTTTTCATAGATTTTTTTGCCTTATTCACTCCAGATCTGTCAGCACTGGTTACGTCAATGTTTCTGGAACTACCTTGATTGGGACGAGATCTGTTTGTACATTTGTACTTGTCTCACAATGGGCATTGATTATCAGGTACTATAAGATGTTCAAAGAAGCGCGTCATAATGTAGGAGCAAGTTGTGGGCTATTTTTATGAAATAAATTTTAAAAACTGTTGATCTTTTTATTAATCTTATTATTTTTCATTTTTATTATTTTTCAGGTGTACTTTTGTATTGCAGTTTTACGTCATTTACAACAAGACATTCTACGAAAAACGCAGCAACAGCAGCTTCTAATCTTCTTAAAGGTAGATGGCAATGAACTGCACATTAAACGCTAAAGAGTAGGCTTCCATTCATTTCTTTACAAACGGAGATAATCAAGAGAAGATGTGGTATAAATCTAAATTTAGTGCCAGTGAACATTATCTTATGATGTAGCCATTCAAGTGAAACTTCTTTAGCCGTTACATGACGCCGTTAGTTTTTCTTTTAGGCTTTCCCTCTCCGCCCCAATTTCTTCTACTCTCCTTTTTACTATTAATTTGAATAATTACCTTTTTCTTTTGCTGTAAGTGGCTGTAAGGAAAGAAGGAGGACCGGTGGCGGTCTATTTTTCTTTATTTCAATTAAATTCGAGTTTTCCCTCTCTTTCGATGTTTGGCCTTCTTCGGAGCGATAAGATTTAGCCTGCGAGCAAGCTTTCCATTTGGGGACATTATATCGTCTTAAACTCCACCGCGATTTCTTCCATTGGCAATATTTTTCTCTTGTCTGCCCCTTGAGAAACCCCGTGACATTGCCTTAATCCTATCAGTCCTTGAGCGCGTGCAAAGATGGTGGTTATCGTGAATAAGGTCTATTGCGGGATGCATTTCGGCTCTAGTTCCCTTCTTGTCTCTAAAGTGTCGAATGAGTAAATAACCATTGTTTTTTTAAAGCGTTTACGTAAATCCACACTAATGTTGACTCGGCCGCCACAAGTCCGGCGCGAAAAATGTAAGCAAAGCTGAAAAAGGACTTTGAGAAAGTTTACGCCAGTGGTTGAACAGCTATGCAACCTCCCTTTTTTAAAAAAACAAACAATCAAACAAACAAGTTTTTTTCATATTTTTTGCCTTTTGTTTCAGGAAAACCCAATCCCCAATTTCAAAGTTGCTGAACAATTGACATTCATGCAGGAATTGGAAGCTCGGTATCGTCCGTCAATTCTATCTGACTTGCAGAATATTACCAAACCCTAGCAGTCATCTCATCCTCGCGGGAATCCGCGCAAGTTAAGAGTACGCGCATGACAAATAACCGAGGAGTGGTTACGAAGCGGGGAACAAAGCATGGATGGCGAAAGATGGTCAGTACGGTCCAAAACTCTTTAAAATATTCGACCCGCATAGAATCAACTAACACGTGCATTTCTCTCATCCTGGGGGAAATCTGTACCACTTTCCTCGGAGAACGTGCGCGAATTGAGCTTACCACAAGACGGAACGAGAACTCTCGTTCTCAAAGGAACATCACTCGCCCGAAACAAAATTTGAGCTCCATCTTGACGCCGCACGGCTGTCGCACCGGGTGTCCGTGCCGTGGCGTATGCACCGAGTATTCTCCAGTATTTGGGCGTATTGTTGCTGGAAATGGCAATCTTTGTGCGTGAGTAATCTTCTTAGAACATGGATGTCATCTCGCTCTTTCTCTCTCGAGCGATTTAAGAACAACGAAAACAACATTTGTAGGACTGCAAAAACTGCCAAACAGACGGCGCGATGGTTTTCCTTGATTTCCCACACTTGCTCCTGAACTTCAATGAGCTTAATATTTATCGCCGTGATCTAGGCTAATTAGGTAATAAAAAGCATTGTATTGGTTGAGAATATTCTATGGCAATTATCAGTTATTAATTCAGTATTTATTCTTCATCTATCTATAACTTCATCTATGTGCTATTACCTGCCTTCATAAACAAAAAAAACGCGCACAATGTGATGATGTGTGTTTGTCTGTTTTTTTTAAACAAACCTGAAGAAATTCTTACCCAGCGAGCAGTGGTTTCTCCAGACCGGACGCTACGCTACGTTTCTCTCCCTGCGTAGCGTAGCGTCTGGCCTAGAGAAACCACTGTTCGCAGACATTCATTTGTTGCCTCACCATAGGTACGGAGGGGGGGCGAAGGGACTGTGAGCTACTGTAAGCTATGTAAAAAAAAAATAACTTTCCTTCGAGAACTCGACGCGTACTTTTGGAGCACGTCGTATTTGCTAAAGAAACGACCACTTATTTCATTTAAAGGTCAGATGTCAATATAGTTGTTTACGTGCGTGCCAACTTTCCAGTTATGTCATCCCTAACTTTGGCCGTCATAAGTTCTAATTCAAGAAACCAACATGACAGCATGGCCAGAGCTTCGTTTCTAACCTGCGATCAGGCGATTTTTTTTTTTTTTTGTGGGGGGAAGGTTTTTTTTTTTCCCCCCCATAAAAAAAAAAAAACACCTGATCAGCAGTTTATTCTTTTTTTGTTGTTTATTTATGGCGGAGGTTATCTTCTGTTTTACACCACAAAAAAAAAAAAAAAATCGCCTGATCGCAGGTTACTTCGTTTCTTGAAGTCCTGACCCATCCATTGCCTGCGTGCAGACGTCTCCTATTTCCTTTTCCGCGTGCAACAAAGGAAATAGGAGACGTCTGCACGCAGGCAAACCAATCCACAAAACAAAACTACAAATGTTTTAGTTGAAGAAAAAAATGAATAGTTTTGTGGGCTAAAACAAACAGCTACAAGACTTGAAACTGAAAGTCACGGCCGCACCCTCTCTCTAAAGGGTTGCCAATAGTTTCCCTTCCTTGTTTTAGTTTTGTTTTCTAAACATTTCCGGACTGGCACACCATGTGACCAACTACAGAGGCTGCAGCGTAATAGTTTCTAGTGTGCTTTCTTCCATTGAGAAAGACGATTCTTCAAACCCTATTCGATATAAACATATCTGTATAATTGTGCCATAAAGCGGTTGTAGTAGTTGTTCCTATTTCCCCTCCAATTTTAAGGCAGAAATAGACAACATAGCGTTTTATCCCCTTCCCAACTCTGTGGTAGTTTCTTGCGAATCTGCAGTTTTTCCTTTTTCTTTCTTTCTTTTGTTTTTTCGTGTCCGCTTCAGTGTCAAGTCTTTGGTTCATTTTTTTTATTTCAAACCGTACTTGCAGCAGAAAGTTTTGAACATATTTAACAGGATTGCGTGATTTGCATCGTGTCACGTACGCTCTTTCGCTGGGCAGCTGGATACCACTTCGTGGCTTTTTTGTCAGGACGGGCGTTCAAAACAATATAAAGCCCCAAGAGAGATTTGCCAATCATTTTTATTTCCCCCTTATAAAACTAAAATCTTATTTTTGCATGCGCAACAAAAGACACAAAAGAATAGTTAAATTGTTCGCACTGACGCACTGATTTTGTGACTGACACGCATTTAATAAAAACGAAGGAGGATATATTTATTACATCTTAAACATTTAGAATTTACCAAATATCCTGATAAACAACCAAGAAGATCAGGAAGTTTTTTTACTTTTTATTATTTCGATAATGGCTCAATCTGAAAGGCGCCTGGACTGAAAACTATCCACCAATCAGATCACTTCAAAGTGACTTCAGAGCTTCAGGGCTTTGAGGCTTTGAGAGCGTGAAGTCCCGCACACTTTGCCGCAATATATAGCTGGTAAAGTGGCATGTGTGCAAAATTTTGTCAAGTAAATGTAGTCAGTGGAGGCGAGAAATTCATGCCAGAACAAAGAGGAACACGTGGCAAACATGGACGATTTTCCCAACATGCGAAGGGTGAATTCTGTGTTCCCTCCGTTCGCTGACGATGATGAACTTGACGGCAATGGCGGGGGAAACGGTTTCCATTCAATCCTGCGAAAGCACAAATCTCTACCTGCTCCGAGGAAAAAAAACGTGCAGTTTGCGGATGGCTGTGGAAAGCCTCTCGTCTCTGTTTACAGCGACGATGAATATAATATTCACGTAGCTCTTCAAATGACCAAACGCGAGCTGCAGCGGGCCAAAAAAACATTACATGTGCGATTTTCTCAGCCGGTTGCCTCGGATGGTTTTCGAGACAGACTGGAAAAGCAAACAGTTTCTCTCGAGAACGCCGTAGCTTCGCAAAATTCCATCTGGGGAACGATAAAGGTAAAGAATATTTGCTTTCACAAAGAGGTCACTGTGAGATACTCTTTGGATGGCTGGGTTTCCAGCACAGATCTTCAAGGAGTTTATGTACCTGACTCTAATGATGGTTCAACGGATAGATTTTCGTTTGCTCTAACGCTTCCCGAATACTTTCTAGCTTCCGGCGGAGTGGTAGAGTTTGCTGTTCGTTTTCAAGGGGAAGGTATGGAATTTTGGGACAACAACAACGGAGAGAACTATCGGATTGAGTGTCGAGAGTCGTCGCCATCGAACAGTGGGATCAACAGAATGGCCAATCTGTTTCGGAAGAACGATTTTAAGTTCTGAAAGCAGCGTAATGAGAACAAACTCTTACCAGTAGTGGAACTAACGTGTTCCTGTCACACAGATCAAAACAAAAGGAGCCAACACGCTTTCCTGCACGTGTGTAAATTAATTACTCAGCTGATGGTAGGTGATTGAATGCTCAGATCATGTAGCAAAAAGTAGAACTGCAGTTTTAAGTTTAATGAACTCGACGCATTCTCAACGAGGTCACTTATCGACCAGACGAAGAGCAAGTTTTATCAAGTCCTTTTCAGGCTATTTATTTTCATCCAAACCCAAAGAAGCAATAATATTATTAATTAAATGTGAATAGAATTAGTAATGGTGCTTGCCATCTTTTCGTAGGCTCAGAAAGTTTACCAATAACAATACGCCCTCTTTTTAAAGTGAAAAAATAGATCGTTCAGTTCCATAGCAGTGCAATGATCTCCTTAAAATGCTTTTCGAGACTTAATTTTCTAGGAGAGTGAGAAGGGCCCTTCTGATTACATAATGTCTTCCCCTCTGATATTGCTGTCAAATAGCACGGACATGTTATGCTAACAGTTGTAGGGGAGTACCACCCTGCTTTGGTGCTTAATGGCCAAAACAAACAAACAAGTTATGTTACCCTGTACTAAGAGAGTTGGCTTTTGTCCTTTCCGTCCTCGTAGTTGGACCATCGCTTTTATCTTACGGACCCTGAACTCATTGGGTGCATTCATGTTGGCCTAATTATTATTAACACTTTGGTTCATTAGCATACAGATTAAGCTGTAGAAGGCATGGTGGTATTTATGATTGTTGGATTTGTTGTTGTTGTGCTGCACCAGGGATCGTTGATGATACTCCCTGTGCAATGTCTTATAAGGTGAGACAAAATTGAGAGAACAGTGGAAGTGCTGTTCATTAGAATTAGACCCAATATTTCAGCAATCATGCTGCCCTGATCAACAGACAAAGTGTGCCAATCCTTTACTAGGGAGAAATTTAAACTCTCAAAAATTATGCAAGGGTACAGAAAGAGAGTTGTGCCTTCAAGTTACTGAAGGCAAAATCTTTGTTCAGTGAATGGGGCAGCAGTTTTCTCTATAAAGTCGTGTATGAAGTGGATGTAATCTCACATCTTTTCTTATGGTATGGTATACTATACTCACGTGATGCAATCCTTCTAAACTGGCCAACCTGTCTTGACTATAATTGTCACAGCGCACAGAACCTCTTAATTCCCTTAAGTTCTTCTCCATAGAATCCATTAGAAGTATCAAGCCTGCAGGACAGACACTGTTTTTGGCAGTCGTCGATGTGCATGTAGTGGATGTGGAATGTGAGACTTGCAACAGGAAGTGCTCCACTTTTTGCTTGCCTAAAAAAAACCACAAAAATAAAGTGCCTGTTTTGCAGGCTAAAGGATCATGTACTATGTGATCATTATTAGTATGATGATTGCCTATGCCTGAAACCTGAGATACAACTTTCTATCTTCAGCTTTCTTTCTTCAGTTTGTTCTGCATGTGTGTGCATTGAGCATTCTTAGTATAAATGGTATAAATGAAGCAATCTTCATTGTGTGGAAGAAACACAAAAAGCAGGGTGAAACTCACTTAGACACTGCCCATTTACCCTTTTCTTTCAAAATCAACTGGGGAGTTTTTTTTTTTTTTCATTTTTGAGTGTGAGGATGAAATCCCTTGATGTGCGGATTCTCTCTGTCAATACCTCCACAACATGAGCTGCTGTTCTGTTGTACAATTTTGTTTAAAAAATTGAAAGTTGATGTCTTTTTCTTGATACTGATTATTGTTATTTTTACTTACATCTGGTGGACCAAAGGCGTTAATTTATTAGGTATTCATGCATGCATTATTGATTGATTTTGACTCTCAAAATCTGTTTTGTCAGGACTGCTTGAATTTGACCCCTTTTAAAACTACAGTCACAAGTGTCACAGTAAACGATTTGAACAGCCACCCCCAAATTTAACCATATAAAATATTTATTTAAACTCTACCCATTCTATTTTACCAATTCTTAAGTTAACACATGGTTTATACATGCTACTGTTGGCATATATGCTGTTGACTACATAACCATATATGTGTGGCTGTTTAGTTAATGCTACTGGACTTTGCTCCTTTGTATTACTTTTTGCTGCTATTATGTAACAGTACTCCATTTTTCAATAATCGTGTTTAAGACTCTGAAACTGAAAGTCTTCATTTTAAAAAGTTATTTGGTCTTTACAAGTGTATTCCATGGTGCAGAAAATGTTTCTGACCATGGATTCACTTTCTAAGCATTGTTTGGATGTCTTGCAACCTACTTGTCAACTCAGTAATGTTTAATAACCAAAACTTGATGCCCAATTCTCTTCACCTCTCCAACACCACTTATTAAGAAAGGACAATAACTTGCCTTTGCTGAGTAAACCTGAAGATAGCTCTAATTTAGACTTAAGTTATGTTTTAAGGCATGTTTTTCATCTGATATGATCATTGATCCATGCTCAATGATTTCTTTGTCAGCACATTGACGTACTCAAAAACTTGTATGTGATGTTCACAATGAGATTCAAGATACAAGTTGAATACAGTCTTTGCTGGCTGAAAACTGTGGAAAAACACTCCATATCTGGAGATTAAGATTTTGAAAGTTCTCTTCATGGACTTAAAAGTTTGTATTCTTAACCATTTTTGGCCACTTTAAATCATACTCTCTCTTTCATTGGCTTAAAATATACTTCAAGATGGTAGATTGTTTCGATGAGGTATTGCAACTGTCAATTCACCATGTATGATTTTATTTTTGTCAGAAATTTGTGTTACATAGTAAAAGTCATAAATTAATATTAAGATATTTTTTGAAAATTGATTTTATATGGTGTTTTTTCTTGTTTGGTCTATGTAAGATGTATGACTTTAACCTCATATGCATCAAACACTTTCTGAGGACAGAAAAGGTGGCAGGTTAAGTGAAAGTTATTGTTTGCAATTTAACACTGTTGTTGTTATTCAAATGTGACAAACCACTTAATCAAAACAGCTTTTGTTTTTGGAACTAATGTGCGGCTAGTTGGCATGCAGAGCTTGTATCAATTTTGGTAAATGTTTTATATTGATTTGCCATGAATCTTTATAGAAAACCATGAACACCAGAAGTATTTTAGAGTGTTACTGCATTGCAAAAAAGCTAATTAGGCATGAAAAAATATTACTTGTGCCTTTTTTTGTTTGCTTGAATATCCTGTTCATTGTTGTGATTGGTCACTGCAAAATCAACATTCACGAGATATTTCGGGTGTTCATATTTCACCAAGTTTGACAGTAAGGGAGTAGCATGAAATATCAAGGTCTTGTTCAGAAAAAGAAACTCTTTTGTAGTCCTCATCTGAATGAGTTTCAAGATCACTGATTAGCATGGAATGCTCTGCCACATGTATAAATATAAATGATATACTATATTAAAAAATATTGAAGATAGACAAAGTAGATGGTTGGCCTGCATAGCTGGCTTTTTTTGGTGTGATTTTCTTTTTTGATTCGTGTTTATACGGCCATGTGCAAGGTCAAAAAAGAAAATAATGAGGGAGAGGGAGAGAAAAAACTGGGGTTTCTTACTGCCTTCTCCCCTCCCACCCCGTCTTCCCTTGGTTTTCTGGTTTGACCTTGGGTAAACTTTTGTGCACTCTATCTCTTACTTCCCCCCCCCCCC